GCCTTGAGATGATCAGTTATACTGATCTCCTTCGCGTAGCGTTTGTGGAAGTTCATTACAATCCCATCTCAAGTCATTACATACGGAATTATTTTGGTCATGCATTTCATTTCTGACCCAAGCTTATTAGCAAGTAGATCATATTTGCGACTGCTGTGAACCTGTCCTGACTAGTGATGCCAACCTCAATCAGGATTACTTACGTCGCTTCTTATCCTGTATCATGATATCCGGTCGATCCGCATTTATCTTTATAGCTGTTTTTACTCTCATACCGACGCTGACCTTAACGTTCTCATTCGTGGCGACCTCCTGAACAGAATGGCTTCGCAAGCGCGGGAATACTTTCAGACCATACTTTTTGCAGAGTCCCAAGTGGATGCATCGTAGGACCTCATTATGTTTTCTAGTATAATCATGATGTAACATTTTTTCGCACTGCCTTGCTAGATGGTCCACTGTCTTCACACGTTCCCCACAATGTTGGCAGATACTTTTCTCACCTAAAACATATTTCTATCTTGGAGATAACAGTATCGTGCCTCATCTTGCGGGATAATGTTTCCATATCGCAGCCATTTTGATGAATCAACTATGGACGAGATTGTATTCGTCCGCATCTTGTATAGCTTTGCATGGTGAGTTTTCTTTTCTATTTCGCTATACAAGAACGCCTTCTAGGCTGCTAATACGTTTTCGACTGTAGGATTCTCTGCGAGATTGTATCTAGTCTTTAGATAAAGCACAATAATTACCAAGTACGTGTTATGAGCTTTCTCTTGCTTCAGAATTGCTGCTCTTCTGGCACAAATGAGTGCGGTATCTACAAGAACATTATGTAGTTGGAGAAGCAAAAGCTCATTCTTCCGCTCAACATTAATTCCACGTCCTAGCTCGTCCCTTGGTACGTGCAGTCTTTCCAAGCATGCAGGTTGCTTGTGAATTCCGTATTTGGTTATTAACTGTTTGATATCGTGGTCTATAGCCTTGAAGTCTTCCGGCTCCAGCTTGAGCACCCCAAC